CGGGACCTCTTTGAGTTTAAGCAGCCCGGCGGGGAGTTTGGTGCAGGAAACGGTGATCGTCGATATCTCTTCACACTTCATGGATCCTTCGTCGACCTGCCCGAAGTCGCAGTACGGAAAGACGTCCTGATTAGGTATGTTTGGAAGGTGCGGTAGGTCCGGGGCATCTCATCGCATTTGCGCCGGACGGGGATAAGCTGAAACAGCTCAATGAAATTGTGCTATTGCCAGCCTTGCGAGGAGTAGCGGTCTTCAATTGGTAGAGACATTTACTTTCGAAGAGCTCGTTGATGTTGCAAACCAAACCCTTGCAGCAGGAGCAAGAACGTCGGTGCCCTCTCGCGCGAAGAATCAGCGCAGTTTTGTCGAGATCGGGAAGCGGGTGTTAACAGTTGATGAACGCATACTTTCTTGTGAGCGCGACGTGCCTGCAGCGGTAGTCTTGCAGTGACGCTAAAGTCTTCCCTTCCTCTTGGCGAAAGCTTGCTACCGTGCTGTCGTCTTCAAGAAGGCTGTTTGTCTCGCAAACTATTCAGACAGCGCTACTGGTATACATGCTTTCGAGCTTCCAGGAAAAGAACCGCCCGATGCGACCTGATGTTGCCCACCTCCGCGGGAAAGTCGCGGGAAAGTTGTAAAAAGTCACAAAGCGTCGCGAAGAAATGAGTGTCCGAAGCCTCTGTCATAGCGCTCGCGGAGCCATTCAAGCCGTCTCGACGGTAAAATGCACTGCAGAAATTTTGCGTTGCTCTTCGAATTGCAAGAGAGTTGAATATGCTACCCGCTTTTCATACCGATGTGAAGCGAGAAGGCGCCGCCTCTCAGACGATATCCAGGGGCGTACACCATCCTTGTCTTGGGGATAAACGTCAGAATTCAGGGTGCGGTTTCACAAATTGTATGTACTGCAACAGGCTCTCCTCCGATCGCTAGGTGATGTAGGTGCCAATGAGCTACAACGACAGGTCGCCTCGACCCTCCGTCAGACTGTTTATTAAGACGTCGTATCCTTCGCTTCCTCCTTCCTTTCCATTTTCCCATCCCCATCCATGCGATGAGTCGAGCTTGATCTCCACGCACCAAGCCTCTTCAGTGCTATTGCATGATTGAAGGCGCTCGCAGCGTACAATTTTGCAACCGCAGAATGCCGATTCCAATCGATGTCGTCGTCGAGCAATGGATTAAAGTCTTCCCACTCGGAGGCATCACTCCACCATAATGGTAGATGTGTGTCCCAGTCAGCTTTTTCTAGACGTTGAACGAGTCGGCGAAAAGCCTCAATTCGCCTTGCCTCGACTTGCTGCTGTCGTCGGCATATGGCCAAAGCGCAGCAGACCAATAAGACGCAAAGCGCAGCATCAACCAGCGTAAGGATGAGCGCGAAGCGAGACGAAAGTGCGGGGCTCAGTTCAGAGCAGAACATAAGGACATGTTCATCTGTTCCACAAGTCGACGGAGACAGGCGGACGGCGACGTGCCGGAGAGGTTGTGGCTCCTGGCGCCGTACGTGGTGAGCGTGAAGGTGGCCTTCGCTGTTTACAGGAGTAAGTGATGAAAAACCGTGCCACACCACGTGACTTCATGCAGAATGCATCCTACAGGACCGTAATTTGCAGATAAGGCGCTCTCCTCGACGAACCATCATGCACGCCCAGGACGCCTTCGTCGCACAGCAAACCCCTATCTCGTGGCTTCATTTGGCGACCATTTGCGCTGTACCTCTGTTGCTAGTGCAGGACGATCTGTCGAACCGTTCCCGCCTTGGACCTGTAAGAATTCTTACGGTGCTCGCCCACATCTTGTTAACATCTTTATCAGCAAGCACACTCCTTCGATCGCATAGATCGAGGAGTGAGGGTAAGATGCTAGAGGCGATCAGTCAGTTGACTGCAACACTTGACAGCATTGAGGTCTCGCGCTACGAAGAAGATGAGGAAGAAAGAGGCACGCCAAAACGCTTCGACTTTGGAGCGGTCGATGACACGGCTGCGCTCTATCAGGTTCTGATGTTGTTCAGCCTTTACGCAGACGAGAAAGCCACCCGATACGTCAAACGACAGCAACCTATCCTCTGGGGCTACGAACCATCACACATGCCCTTTAGGGCAAGAGAGCAGTGGAGAGCCTGCAAAGCACGTCAGGGCAACCACCCCTTTGTAGACCCGAGCAGGTCCGATGATGCAGAAGAAATGACCTGGTCAGATGCGTCGTCAAATTAGCAAAGATTTGCTGCAAGACCCGTTTTTTTTTTTTTTTTTTTTTTTTTTTTTCACCCAGACCAGGATTCGCGTTGACTTTGCAAACAAGAAGGTGCCCAAAGCCAAAGCACGGAGCGTTTGCTCAGTCCGGTTGTTGACGCTCGCACCTCTGAATGGCTTATGACGCACGTGCAATTATGTTTCATTTATCACGTGGTTGCTTTCCTCTTGCTGCTTTGCTCCACGGCTGATGACAGGTGTTCGTGTTCTACGTAAGTGGGCTGGCTAGCCACGTCGCTTCCCTCGACGCAACATTCCACCCGGCCTTTTCGAGGAAACTAAAGCGACGTCCCTCTTCCACCATTTCAGGTCTCAGGTCTGTCGGAAAGATCAGGATCGAAATCGTCGGAATGGCGTCTCTCATCGCTGCACAGCCTGAGCTCGTCATGTCGGCGAAGACGCAGCTGCAACGACTTCGGCGGATCAAGTTTGATCGGTGAGGGCTCGACGCGCGCAAGAAGAGAATCTCTGACCGCTGGCTGATTCTGCATGCTGCATAGCTTTATAGGTGTGCATACCGTTTCTCGCGAAAGGTGGTCATTTCTCAAGCACTCGGCGTTCACTGATATCGGACAATCTCGGCAGGTAATCACCCTGCCGATCTCACTCGCGACAGCCTCGCACGCTTGAAACCTGCGCTGTGAGTTGTCGTCAGTTGGGGTCAGATTGGCTTGTTAGCATGATGATCCTAAGCTCTCGGTCACCTCACATTGTCGACAGCTACGAGGTGACGGAGAAGAAAGATGGGCTGCGAGTGCTCCTTCTGCGTCTGTCGCGTGGGGAAGGGGATCATCTCGTGACTCGTTGGCTTTTGGTGAGCCGCCTTGACAGCTGATTGATCAAAAATGTGCGCGATGACAGACTCAGCCGAGCTACTCTAGAACGACAGGAAGAATGACTTGTTCGAGCTCACCGCAGAAAATCGGAGCTCTTCACAAAGCAAGTCATCTGACGGAACAAATGGCAACGAGAGAAATCCATTCAGCAGAGCCCCGTGGAATGTCATTGATATTCTCGACGGGGAACTCTGTTGGACGTCAAAGACCGAGACTGGAACGGAACTGGAAGCTGCCTTTGCCCCAGAGGTGCGCAGGGCCATCCACGTATTTGACTGTTTGATGATCAACGCTAGGGCGACGACTCCTCTTCCTTTTCTTGAGCGACGCAAGGTGAGAGCTGCTTCGTGCATGCCCGTATCAAACCTCTAATTTGGGCCTTCAGCTCCTTTGTGAACGATTTGAAGCTTTGTCGACGTGCGATCACTGGAGAGCAAAGTGCGTGATTCGGCTGTTGCAGATTTCCGAGAACCCTGGAAGTCCTAACTTAAAGCACATCCAGCTCAGTGTTGCTTTTGAAGCCGACGTTTCCTCTTGAATGCCTCGACAACTTCGCCGATACTTTCTCAAAAGAATGGGAGGGGATCGTACTCTATCAAATCGACGCGCCGTACTACCTCGAGTCGGGGACGCATATGTGGGTCGAAGTAGTTTTGCCATCGAGCATCTTGATGCTTACCTAGAACGTTGGCATCCAGAATGCGATGGAAACCCGCCCAAAGCCTTAGCGTGGACCTGCTAGTGCAGCGAAGTGACGAAGCAGGCTTTTCACGTCTCATGGGCTGGAAGGGAAGAGATGAGTTTATCGACTGTGGCAGGATATCGAGTGAAGTCGTCGAGCTCCCGGCGTGAGTTTCCTCGTCAAGATTGCTTGCGACACTCACAGGCCCCTTTGCCAGACGTTGCAGCTGACGACATAAGTGCATTGGTGGACTAGCTCAAAGTCATGTGACATCGGCGAGTTCGTCTTCTTACCATGCCATGCCCAATGGTTGTTCATTCGATGGAGGCACGACCGATTCCGACCCAACCACATCGACCGCATCCAACAATTGATAGAGCTCAGCAAGGACTGCGTTGAATATCAAGAGGTTTGTTTCACGCCGTTGCCATTCTTCTGGTGTCAAAAACGGAATATACTGACCACCAGCGGTGCAACATGATGCGGTATTGCAGATTTTGGCAGTTTCGAGAGCTTGTCGAGCCAGACACGGCGCGAATTAGATTTGATGCTGATCCTGAACACTATACGTTGTGCGGTTAGATGCCGAGTTCTATATCTATAAGACGACAGTGCTCTAGCTCGAGGCTTTGTGACCCGTACGATACCATGACTCCTCTGACACACGAAGACATCGGCCAATACAAAACGGGACCCAAGTGATGTCGATTAATTTCAGAGAGGAAATCCTCTGCGCAAGATAGGAAGCTTGATTAGCAGCTATGACTGTGCACTGGCTCGTTCTGCCGGTCGCTGTCGGTTGCCAGCGCGCGATGGGGACATCGTGGAGGTCTTGCGGCCGGCCACCAGCCGAGGGCAAGATCGATCATCGAGCTGCCATTGCACTGGAGCGAACTTCTTGTCCTCGCTCCAAGGTGTGTATGACCATTGCATGCTCTCAGCTAGTCGTACAGCTGTGAGTTGCTGTACGCGATCGATCCATTCAGAGGTGACGAGAGCCCGACAGACATCGTAAAGCTGACCCAGAAAGAATACGTCGAGGGCGCAGTAGGCGATCAACGAATTTGAGAAGGGCCTCTGCTCCAGCAGATATTCGTCGCCGCCGCGCGCTGTCACATACTCTTGTGCAAAAGTCGTTCGCGCATCCTTGAAGTCCGCGAGCGTGTGACTGTCCAGCACACCGCTATGTGCGATCGCCTTGTCAAGACTCCACCAGAATTTCCTCTGATTCGGGGACCGAGAGACAAGATGGTAAACCTGAACCTCGACCACGTTCCGCAGCCGAACGTCGAAGAGAAAGAAAAGTGCATTTGCGGCATTCCGCACGTCGTACACAGCCTTCTTCACGCTGGTACTTTCTAGGATACCCTTTAAAGAGACTCCTCCTGCCGATGTGGTGAAAGCAGCGACTTGCAGAAGATGCACATCGACGAGGTACATATTGCCACCCGCTCGGATCGATAGCACGGAGATTGCTCCGTGGCGACTGAGCATCCTTCCTTTCAGCGCTAATGAGACAAAAGCTGCTGTCTTGAGGTCTCGGAGGCAGGCTTGAAGCGAGTCAGGACCATCAACAACAGCCACAAAGTCGTCCCAGCTGTCCATTTGGGCCTTGATTTTGTTTTAAGGCTCCTTCTGCTGAGCTTTGCGGTGCGCCCAAGTACGTCGATCTGCGGGAGCGGGGGACGTGGTGTGCAAGTGGAGCTTTGCGGTGCGCCCAAGTACGTCGATCTGCGGGAGCGGGGGACGTGGTGTGCAAGTGCGAAGATACCAATGCCGGTTGCCGGTGCCAGCTCTGAGGGCGGGAGTCTTCGAAAGCGTCGAAAGATTTGGAAGCGTGAGGAAGTGCGCTTCCTCTCTTCTGACTCTGACCCTTGGACCCATGACTGCGCTGAAGGGGACCCACAATATCAATCCTGACCATGAGGTCGTCGCGGAGGTTGCATCGCTCATCGAACGGGTGTCGCTCAGTTTAGCGCATCAAGAAGGCGAGTTGGCCGTGCAATGTAATATTAGCGTACCGTTGTGAAGCATCAATCATCGCTTCTGGCCTCTCGAGGAGTGACGCAGACTTGGTGTCTCAGAACCACACCCAAAAGGGAAGTGAAGGCGAATGGCCGGCCGTGCGAGCTAACGTTTAGCGTCGTGATGCTTCTTCAACTTTTCTCTCCTATTCTTCTGAATTGCATGCAGACTATATGTACACAAACAATTCTGAAAGGGAAGGTTTCCTGTAGCAAAACTTGAAAAGCCGTGTGCACCGTATGGATTGATCTCATGCATCGCCTCTCTTTGTTCTTTGCACGATTCCAGAGAGTACGGTGTGTGGGTTTTCCTCTATCGACATTGCGGAGCATGCTCCTCGTGGAAATTGATGGAAACACGCTGCGTTCACACCGAAAAAATAAGATTTGTGGAACCATCAGAATAATTTTTGATAATCCCAAAACAAAAAACATCATAAATATAAAACATCCGAGGATCAACCAGATCCCTGTATTAGAAGTAAACTTTTGCTCCACAGTATGCTCTAATCTGAAAAGGCGATCGCTTGCTTCCTCGATGGAAGAGATCGAAGGGCGCCAGAAAGCCTCGTAATACCGAATCATGCGCGTAGCCAAAGTGTCGAGCACCTTCTACATACTTACGATTTCAAGATGCAACCTAAGCTTTGATGATCCAATACCCGACTTTGCGTCTGATCTACGAATACAGTGGCAATTCAAGGCGAAACAAATGGGCCTGCTGCTGTGTTATCTGCTCTCCCTTGAATCTCGCACAAGACGGTGGCAATCTGGCAACGAGCCTGAGCGAAAACGAAGCATAAAGGCCGTGTACAAATGAAGGTCGGTAATGAGGAAGCAGGCAAAGAAAGGCAGGCAACAAGCGATACGATGTGCAACTTCTTGACATGCATTGCCCTCGTCATACCCTCCGCAGGGGGCAAAAGCACGGCTGCGAGAAGATTCCCAGTACTCGATATTGATAGCATCCTAGACCTGGAAGACCCGATGGTCACGAGAGCATTACATCATCACGAACGTGCGCTGGAGGACGATTCACGGTGGGAGAAAGGTAACAAGCTGTTATGGAAATTCCAAAAGAAATGGCTTCGCCAGAACAGTGCCGGTCGCGTTCGAGCAGTCCTGCTGCATACTTACGAACAAGCGCAAGCTCTTGGATTTGAAGACATCCAAATTCTTGTCCCATCACTTCAACTGCATGCACAAGCGATGAAGGAGCGCAGTCCAAGAGGTCAGCGCATAGCTCGCTTGAACAGGGAAGTCGTTGTCAACGAGGTTCACAGGACGAACGTGCAAATAAGGCTATATTCTTCGTGGCGAGAATATACATTGCATCTGTGCACAGTTATGGCCATAGTAATAGAGGAACATCATCAAATGGATGGAAGAGCGCGGGAGGATTGCAGATACTCGGTGCTTACTTCGAAAAATTAATGAAGATGCGTTCGTTTTTGTGAAAAAAGATTTGTGTTCTTGATATGGCCACCTTCGCAAAGCTTACTCTCACAGACTTCGCATTAAGCCTTCTTACAGGGAAAGCTGAGAACGGATCGGGTGACAGGTAACATGTGTAAGAAGCGCCAGGTGCGGGAGGGTGTCCGTTTGTAACAAGTCCCAATTACGCGTTTGTTTCCCGTTCCCTTTGAGGTAGTTTTGCACCTCTCATGCCCATTCAGATTTTGTCGTAATCTCGGGTGTTTCATCACCCGTATTGATTGTTATAGAAAGCTTTGTTGATTGTTACGTTACATGCTCGTCAGTATGTCACCAATTGTTGTCCAAGATTTCTCAGGAACTGTAGGCTGACGGACTGACGGCATCTGAGAGGTTCGTTCATCTTTCAGACAGAGAGCGGACCCTGTATCCAGACATGTCGAGACAGTGATGGTCCATGGAGCAACTGAAAGCCGTTTTGAGATAATCTTCTTGACTTGGCGATCATAGACTTTATCGTATCGGTAACCTCTCCAACAATCTTTAGAGATTAATGTGCTATCACGTGTAAGTAGTGCTCATCCATGCAACCTTGATTTTTTTTTTAAAAGATATTTTTTGCACAGAGCTCCGTATTAATTTTAACAGTCTGGCCAGCAATTTTCAGCGTTAAAAACGAAAGATGATTATTTTCCACGTTCACAGTGCTGTTCGAGAAAATAATAAAGGTGTAGTATGGCATATCAAAGCAGTCTCCTGAGACGCCAAAATGAAATAATGATGGACAATGAAGGACACCAGGTGGTCAATACGCTCGCAAGAACGGTTGATTGATATTGTTGACACGTAGATGATCATCATATGTGCCAGAGGGAAGACGAAGAAACGCTCGCGTTCGTAGTATGATCTAGGAGGCTGGATACCTTTTCCTTCTTTTCAGTCTGCAGCTTATCACTGCATGCCACGAATGTTGACATCAAAGCGCTGAGCTAGGGTTTTCGTAAGCCCCCTTTTAGTCCATCTACATGACAATACGTGGATAATACAGTTTTTCGCAGGGGCCGCACAAATAGCCATCGTGGAATTAAAAGATGTACCTATCACTTGAAAGGTGCATGTATCTAACACTGGACGGGACCCGGACACCGACTGAGATGTTCGTCGCAAAATATCTTTTCGTTCGACATTGAAAGATCACCGCCATTAACTGTAAATTGTCTCTGAAACTGGTCAGTAATCCAAAGTCGATCAATGCACACGCGAATCTAATGTGGGCGGTTAAGCATTAGTGTAAGCAACAAACGGGTACGATGAATCCAAATAATCATGTCTGTATGCCTATTGCTCTTACTGCTCTGACAGCAGTTCAATGTTTAATCGTCCCCCGGTTTCTTGTTCACAAAGCCTGGTAATTCTCTGTGTGTTCGTGTGTATAATTAGGGTATGACGCTCTGCAGCGACCCGTTTCCAGCCATTTAGAGAGGTGCAATTAATATATAAAGCTATGAAGCACAGACGCTGCGCAGAGATCGACGCATCTTCATTCATCGCCACAATCTCTCCTTTTAGCCAACTTCACCGTCGCGTGTCTGAATGAAGGTTTCTTGGCGATGTCTTTAGTCGTTGGGAAAGCTGCGAATGCCACTTGAAGCGAACTTTGTCGGTTAATATTACTCGAATTTGCGCAGCAAGTGTTTGCGATTGTTGAGCCGCCAGGATGACTGTGCTTATGCAGCCTTCGGCCGGCAATCTTCTGTAATTACTCGAGAATGTTTGATGACTCATGTAGTCAACACTTCAGGACACGCCCCTAGCACTTCGCGATCTATTAAACATTCATTCTAAATTACTAATCTAGTCGCCGCACTGTTGCGCACACTGTCTTACGAGAGAAAAGACACATGTCCGACTCACGATACATTCACCTTCTTTGTGATGGGTGGTGCTGAGAGCAGTGCTCGTGAGCGCTCCTAAGGATCAGTGGCAGTCTAGTCATCGATGAATTGTTCTACCACTCTTCGAAAACAAGGACAGGAAAGCATCCAAATAATCCAATCTGGAGGGAGTTCACGGGCTCTCCTTACTTTCGCGGAGTGCGCGCATTCCGCGAGATTAAGATCTAGCAAACGCAGCTCTGCAGCATTTGACTATGTGTAGATGGAAGAAGGCCGTGAGGTATTTTGTCGTGACAGACGCCTCACCATAATTACTGTCGGCTTCAATTTGCTCGACAGTCAGTGCTGGGACCATAAAGTAATCCGGCTGGCCAGACAATTTATACATTGGCTGATATCGCTGACAATGACCTGCTGCAGAGGCAATTGGACCCCTATCACACGGGTGCAGAGAAATGGTCATAGGTTCGTCATTGCCTTGAGACTCAAACGAATTGCTAGTGAGATCGGGGATCTTTAATTTGGTCGATCATTTGTGCGAAGAAAGAGGCGGTAGGTTGAAGGTGAGAGCGACTGTGCCGCTGAAGAAAGTCTGAGGAAGCTTAGCACCTCTGATAGTCCGCTATTAGACTCCTTATAATCTGCTTGAGCTCTTTCAAATCTGGGAACGATCCTCTGATCTGGCGGTCCCAGATGGTCTTCGTCTCGCCGAGATGGAGTAAGACACGGAATCTCCCGGCTGTATCGCTTGCTGACTGGGGGTGGAGCATTATCGCTTCGATAAAACCTTCGCTCGAGGCTTTTGTTGGTGGCTCTTCTATTGTAGAACGTGTGCTAGCTTTTGGAAACGAAAGGAAGAGCTCAGTTTGGATCCAGATTGCTCTGTGAAGCCATCTACTCCTGTTGCAGAACTACATCAATCGATTCGAATCCACGTTAGCTGAGGCCAATTGAATCTCGTGTTGACTGAAATTGCTCACTTCAATCACTACTGTAAAATCTGGCAGTGATTGGCACGAAGGCGCCGATGATACAGCAAGTCGCGCCCGCGAATAAGCATCCTCCTCCTCGTCGCGGACTGTTTGCTTTTGTCGAAGGATCGCTTCGCGGTGGTGGTCCCTTTCTCTACCGATATATCGGGTTGTCGCCATCGTTGCTCGCAAAAATAATCGATGTGGACGTGGGACATCCATAGAACGCGACGCGTCCGTCCCCTTATAAGTCCGCGTAACCCTAACCCTAACTTATTGGTCACGTTTTCGTGATTAATGAGACCGCTCGCTTCAATCACTGGCGTGTAGTTGCTGTGATCGAGAGTCAAACGGCCGCGTCAGCGAGCGATGACTCTTGCTTTTTAGCTGAGAGCTCTTCAAGAAAGCGCCAGAGCGTCAGCAAAGCTTTTCGTCCAGGGACTTCGTAAGTCGTATCATTGCAGTGGGCAAAGAATGCCCTCGTATTTCGGAAGTCAGCTGAACATTCGCTGTATTCATGATGACTGGAAATTGCAGAATGAGAGAAGGTACAGGTCTGAAAGTAGATGTCTGTGGATGCACGCACGTGATCTGCCGTATCTTGTGTAGTCGCCTTCGTGCCGCGCTAAGCTGGTGCGAACGCGTTCACTCAGCAGCATCGTTCGCGAAGTAACCGTGTGTCTAGAACAATGCTTCGTGTCCTCGAAGGGTACGGAAATGTAATAATTTTGAATAGTCAGGCCAGAGAGCGTTTTATTCTCAGTATAGATCGAAACGGTGTCAGCAGCAACCTCGTCAGTCGAATGCACCAGCAATTCGGTACTCTTTTGGCGCGCAAAAGCCGCTTCTTGCTTTGTAAGTGTGCGCAGATTTGATGCTCAGGAGGATTTGGTGTCGAGGATGTCAAGGATTTCCCGTTGGAAAAGTTGGACGGCTTCTTGTCGCTAGCAGCCGCCTGTTCCCTCTTTCAATTCATGCATGAGATGGGTTCACACAATGATTCTAGCTGTCGAACTAGAGAAGCTCGTGCTAGTTGCAGGCCGATCGAGCATTGTCTTAGCTGCTCACCAATGGCCTTTCATTCAAGCCAAGGAAGATTGCTACTTTTTATTTCTTTCCCTTCGACGACGCAGAAGGACGACACCTGCTTCCTTGCATTACTCCGTCGCCTGGCAGCCGGAAGGAAAGTGGGAGAGAAGCAACAAGTCACCTCGCCGCGGGAAAGAAATGGACGGAGGAGCAGAACGCTCAGGATCATTTGCCATTCTGTCTGCATAATTCGACGTACGTCGTATCAGTAGCTCCGATCTTCCTTGTCCGCAAGACCCGATTGCATAGTAAGAGCGGCTTGCGCTCGAAGAGGTCAGAGTTGAAGGACAAACCAAGGGTTTTTTTTTCTCTCCGTCGTACACGACTATCTCTCCCGCTGCAGATCTCAAGCCGGACCAATCCTAAATTCTGCAGAAGCCCAATTACCAGATCTCGAGCCTCGTTCAGAAATCTGGCTTCTTATCGATGGCATGGAGAGAGACGAGATCAAAAGTTGAAATCGTACTCGCCCAAGTCAATGGACGTGTCATTTTCCCATTTGTCCAACAGAAATAGCTGCAAACAAATGCGATAGAGTGCTTTAGATGTAGGCTACATTCGCCGTCCTTTAAAGCATGAAACTAGTTTGCAGATGAAGCATTCTGGATAAGCGAAGAAGACGCGGACAAGGAGATCATCAGCATGGTCCTGTGATTTGATACCATTTTCCGCTCGCAGATGGAAGACTGATGCCACAATCATTGACTTGGGGAGTACGGTAGGCAAAGCTGCCAGTCGTACGTACCGCACGCAGAATCTGGAAGATGCAGGGATATACATCAATCGCGTCAGGCGAAATCAGTGGCCCCGTCATGTGCGAGAAATGGAGGCATTTCTGACATTGGAAATATTTGAAGGCATCATCTCAAGATCCGACGTGAGTCCTCATTTTATATCGGCGGTTGACGGTATCCCTGCTTCATCTTGTCAACGAAGGCTGCAGCTCTTGTTGGATCGGAGGAGATGGACAGGATACCTGAGAGGGCTTTCGTCCATGAGGCCACTACGCCCGCAAGGGATGCAATCATTGCTCTTCATAAAGCGAAGGAAATGCTAGAACGCCCGCAGAATTTGATTGGCCAGGTTGAGTTCAGGTGGATGGAAATGATTCGCGAGCTGGTCAGCGACCTGCGGACGAATAGCGCTTTGCAATACACGTGAGTTCAGCTACAGCGCCTGAAAGATTGTCGTCAAGCACGCATGTCTCGTGTCGTCGCATGCAGTCCTGATCACCACTTTCTTCCTCCCTGAACACTCATGTGCAGGGAAGACGTCACCTGGACTCAGCCAGTGGGTCTGCTGTCCGCCGAGGCCGAATCTTTGGCGGCGCCAAAGCGTGACATGGGCTTCGAGCTTCGAACGCAGCAATCTTTCCAGCAATATCTGCGGGAGCGGCATTCAGAGGCCACAGTACTGTCGAGAAGCTATCTGAATGCACTTTCGCTTCGCCACGCGATTCCTCCTTGGCCCTCGCCTGGCATTCAAGAACTTGCTTTTCCCTGTATCATCCTCGAAGCCAAGTGCGACTCCCAGCCTCTTCTCTATGCCGAGAATCAAGCTGCAGGAGGGACTGCTACCTGTCTGAAGATGATCGAACGCCTGGAGGAAGTCTACTTTAACACGAATGGACAACGCTTTTCTCCTCTTTCGGTCTTGGCGATATGCTCAGAGGGCCCAACCTTCGCAATTCTGATCGCCTTTCAGGGTGACATTTCGGATGCATCAATCGCACAAAATATCGTGATTAATCTGCAAGGTCTAGAAGTCGATGTCCACAACTCATTTTGTTCCTTCTCCGATACAGCATTTAGTCACAATCTGGAAAGGCGACGTAACCGATCACTGGAACCTTTTCTTACTGCTCTTGCTCTCAAAGAGGGCCTCGTCTTGGGTCGAAGAGCGATTTCGATCTAGTGTTGTAGCCATGCTTGAAGGCCTGCGGAAGGTCGTCTAGCACTGTAGGCGAACATCATGGTGCGAGCATGAAACTCTTCTTGGCGATCTTCAGGTCTTCGTCTGCAAATTAATCATTTGTTGGCTAATTTCGGATACCAGATCGAAGCGCAAATCCCTCTCGAACAGATGAGCAAGTCACTGAGCAATTCCGGGGAGGTCGGACACCTGCGGAACGCTGAGGTCCCCGTGCAATGCAATAGCGCGCGACAACAAGATTGGGAGGTTTCTGCACGCGAGATAATCTGCACTGCAAGCCTGCATAAATTCAAAGAGATATATCTTCTTTTGCGCAAGCCAGATTATGACCACATGCCGGGAGAGAAGCAGCGGCATTCGTGATGAAGGGTGAGAGACGAATGTCAATCGAACATTAGCTCGTTTACGAAGGCAGAATCGCGGAAAAATTGCTTCCCTGCAACCGCTAGATCATCACATTCCACCAGCTGCTGCTGCACCCGCCATTACGCCAACTCCAGACGACTCCCATGGTAAGCCTGTATTGATTGGCTCGAGCGTGACGCCAATGCTGAAGCCTTGAAGGTTGTCCCGATTCGCTTCTTGCAGAATTGCGCTTTGCTGTGCTGAGGTTGCCGTAATCAGTGATGCGCGATCCTCCGAGTCAATGTCGTTGGGCAAAACACAGTGGCTTGCCCCCCTGTATCGGAGACATCGATCTAGGAAAGGCTGTTGAGAATCGGTGATTAGGAGTTCTTCTTCCGTATACGTGTCGATCATTTACGGGCTATCGCCTTGACTTTTCTCAACAAACCTTTGGAAAAACACCCTGGACCATAAATTCGGGCCGCTTGTCAGGATGCAAGTTGCGCGGATGAGGACGTGACCGATGTGCAGCAGCTGTCCAAAAGCCACCTCGTGCTTCCAGTGCACACAGGACCTTGTCGAGCAACACCTCCGCGTCCTCAGATGGTTCAAAGAGCTTTGCGAAGAGCTCCTCGTCAGCCTTAGCTAAATCGCCGAGAAGTGCCTGAGATTGTGCAACATTGTCTTGTTCCTCCACATCGCCAGGCAGAGAAGGCGAGGTGATGATCAATGTGGCCCATTGTACTGTCACACCAGAGATGCTGACGTTCTGTGGGAAGCGTACGCGGTGCGATGGGTAGAAAACTTTGGATGATCGGATCCCTCGTGAGCCGAAAAGCAGACGCACAATGGCGTGCATTCTGCTACGCACACGTGCGCCGACCAGCTCACAAAGCTCGACATCGAAAATCGTTCGCAGCTTTCCAGTCTTGTTACTCTCCTTTCGGGCGTCCCGTAGCTCTTCGATTGTGGTAAGGGGTTGTGACCTGGTTGAGTCGAGAAGAAGGGTACTTCGAGGCACGCGGATGTGCAAACGTTTCCTCAGCTTCGGCGCTTGTAATCCAGATTGGAAATGGACTGGTTTGTCAGATCGCACCCAGCTCGAAGGCAGACCCGCGCGCTGCAATTGGGCAGTGTCGAGCCGATGGTTGGACGTTTCGAGAAGTACAAGAGTGAACAAATAATCTTCTTCTGCGTCCCCCACAGTACCCGAGGAGGATTCGACAATGCTGTTGACAAGAGTGTCCGAGTAAGAATAGATCGACGTACTATCTGCCATTCTTGCCTTGAGCATTCAGCCGTGTTCGAATGCTCGAATATTGGACTTGATGATGCAGATCGTTGATGGATGAGTGGAAGGAGGGGGACAGTAGCACCGGTCGGTCGTAAAAAAGAAGACAAGTGGGTCACCCCGTTCACCGAATTCCTCTTTTGCCGGACACGAACACAAAGTTTGCTAAATCGAGCTGAAGGCTAGCGTCGTTCATGAGAAAAATCAACTCTTGAAAATCGCGTTGCTTACTCAGCTCATTGCGGTCGTAACCTGCAAAGATCAAATTTCTTATTTGCGGAACTAGTAAGAATTATGGATGGATCGTAGACCACAGATAGAATTATTGGTATGACCACATGTGACAATAATCCAAAAATTGCCAAGGATGAGAGCTTGCCCAAGTTCAACCGAAGGCTTTTTGGCACGTGCCTGCACAAACCGAAAGACCAAAATTGACAACAAAATCACAGATATTGCTAGGAAGCAGTGGCTTTCGCACGAAGGAGCAGCATTGACGAAGAGTCACATGTACCGTTCACGTTGATCTTGCGGTGCAGAAGAGGCCCCTCACACGTCCAAAATATGTCGAAGAAGGCGTTGCAGATTTTCTTTCTATCAAGGATGCAAGCCTATCATCAGAGAGGCTGATTAGTCCCTATCAAGGAAGGATAGATGAAATTAACCAGAGCTTTTGAGCAATCAGACTGAGGCATTATCTTACCTCGAATCTGCCAGCCAGAGCTGTGGAACATTGCAAGCTGTCTGTTAGAATTGTGGCTTTACGTATCCAAAAGCACTTCGCTCAGGAAGGCTGCAATGTGATCACACAGCTGCAAGTGTCACGGAATGCGAGCAAATATGCTCCCGTCACTCTAGACAACAACAATGACGGCGACACGTTCATGGAAGCGGCAGGGCACGGTGACGGTGCTAGAGAAACGCACGGATTTGGCTTCGACGAGGCCGATACGCTTATAAACGAGAGCCCAGAGCAGCAACCAGGGACATATCCGAAAACTGTCAAGAAGGACAAGGCACCCACGAAGAAGAAAGAGGCACAGTCTCTAACGGAGAGGCGATCCACGCTTGCGACCATGGACAGCTCTTCGCAACACTTCCAGGCGCTAATGCACCTCGCTGGCGACCCGGCTTTTGTGCTACGACGCATCCAGCAGCAGCAGCAGCAACAGCAGCATGGCTCGCTCGAGCCGGAGCAGGGATACGACCCGCCCAGGCGTCAGTCGTGCTGGT